ATTTTTGCAATTGTAAGTGTATGATTAGTTGATAAGGCTGCTATTAAGGATACAACTATTATCATACTATTATTGTCAGATAAGTTAAATGATGCACAGTAACGTTATAACAGAAGGAGCTGATAGGCAGCCTTCACTAAACACATATCAAACACTTTCCATTATAAGATTTAAGTAGCCTAAAAAGTTCCCAACTTTTAACAGACTGGGCTGGAATTTTCCATGTCTGGGGCTGGATTTTTTGTTTATTTTTAAGTTTCAGCAAAAATGGTTCAGCTGTTTCCTAGAACAATATTAGAGAATAATGTTATTTTGTCAGCTTTAAATTCTTACAACTGTTTTATAAAGATGGTCCAGTGCCTTCATGCTTTGGAGCAATATCTTTGAAAATTTGAGAGAAATCAGCTGAGTATCTGTCCCTGTGAAAATCCATCAAAATTTGGTCAACTTCTGAACCTCTGAAAAACCTATGTTCACAAATGCTCATTAGAGATGTATTAGATTATGGCAGATTGTCCGAAGATTCTAGCAGTCTTTGGCCACATCTACACTGTAGCCTTCTTCTGGAAAAGCTTATGCAAATAAGTGTGGAGTGGAATATCGCCATGCTTCATTTGCATAGTTAATTAGCAGCCATTTTGCACAAGAGGCTTTTGCGCAAAAGGAGCTATGTAGATGACTCCTTTTTGTGCATAAACTCCCTCTTGCACAACAGCTGTTCTTCCTCATTTTTGCAGGAAGAACGGCTCTTGCGCAAGAGGGGGGTTTTGCGCAAAAAGGAGCTGTCTACACAAGCTCCTTTTTGCGCAATAGCCTCTTGTGCAAAATGACTGCTAATTAATTATAGAATCATAGAATAATAGGACTGGAAGGGACCTCAAGAGGTCATCGAGTCCAGCCCCCCGCCCTCAAGGCAGGACCAAGCTCCATCTACACCATCCCTGACAGATGTCTATCAAACCTGTTCTTAAATATCTCCAGAGAGGGAGATTCCACCACCTCCCTTGGCAATTTATTCCAATATTTGACCACCCTGACAGTTAGGAATTTTTTCCTAATGTCCAATCTAAACCTCCCCTGCTGCACTTTAAGCCCATTACTCCTTGTCCTGTCCTCAGAAACCAAGAGGAACAAATTTTCTCCTTCCTCCTTATGACACCCTTTTAGATATTTGAAAACCGCTATCATGTCCCCCCTTAATCTTCTCTTTTCCAAACTAAACAAGCCCAGTTCATGAAGCCTGGCTTCATAGGTCATGTTCTCTAAACCTTTAATCATTCTTGTCGCTCTTCTCTGTACCCTTTCCAATTTCTCCACATCTTTCTTGAAATGTGGCACCCAGAATTGGACACAGTACTCCAGCTGAGGCCTAACTAGTGCAGAGTAGAGCGGCAGAATGGCTTCACGAGTTTTGCTTACAGCACACCTGTTGATACAACCTAGAATCATATTTGCTTTTTTTGCAACAGCATCACACTGTTGACTCATATTCAACTTGTGGTCCACTATGACCCCTAGATCCCTTTCTGCCATGCTCCTTCCTAGACAGTCGCTTCCCATCTTGTATGTATGGAACTGATTGTTCCTTCCTAAGTGGAGCACTTTGCATTTCTCTTTATTAAACCTCATCCTGTTTACCTCTGACCATTTCTCTAACTTGCTAAGGTCATTTTGAATTATGTCCCTATCCTCCAAAGAAGTTGCAACCCCACCCAGTTTGGTATCATCTGCAAACTTAATAAGCGTACTCTCTATCCCAATATCTACATCATTGATGAAGATATTGAACAGTACGGGTCCCAAAACAGTCCCTTGAGGAACTCCACTTGTTATCCCTTTCCAGCAGGATTTAGCACCCTTAAACAACTCTCTGACTACGGTTATCCAGCCAATTATGCACCCACCTTATCTTGGCCCTATCTAAGTTATATTTGCCTAGTTTATCAATAAGAATATCATGTGAGACCGTATCAAATGCCTTACTAAAGTCTAGGTATATGACATCCACCGCTTCTCCCTTATCCACAAGGCTCGTTATCCTATCAAAGAAAGCTATCAGATTAGTTTGGCATGACTTGTTCTTCACAATCCCATGCTCGCTATTCCCTATCACTTTATTACCTTCCAAGTGTTTGCATATGATTTCCTTAATTACCTGCTCCATTATCTTCCCTGGGACAGACATTAAACTGACTGGTCTGTAGTTTCCTGGGTTGTTCTTATTCCCCTTTTTATAGATGGGCACAATATTTGCCCTTTTCCAGTCTTCTGGAATCTCCCCTGTCTGCCATGATTTTTCAAAGATCATAGCTAAAGGCTCAGATACCTCCTCTATCAGCTCCTTGAGTATCCTGGGATGCATTTCATCAGGACCTGGTGACTTGCTGACATCTAACTTTCCTAAGTGATTTTTAACTTGTTCTTTGTGTATCCTATCTTCTAAACTTACCCTCTCTCTGTTTGTATTCACTACGTTAGGCACACACATTATGCAAATGAAGTGTGGCAATATTTCACTCCATGCTTCATTTGCGTAAGCTTTTCTGGAAGAAGGCTACAGTGTAGACATAGCCTTTATTTTGCTCAGTCTAGGACTAAGCAACCCTTTATTTTTTAGTTACTCCAACTGCTGGGAGCTACTATTGTGTCAAGCACAGGAACTAAAAGTAGGAAGACTCTCTTTCCTATGCTCTCAACTTGTCCTGTTAGTGCTTATAACAGTACTATGTGAATGCCTGTTCCCAATTTCAGGTGACACTAAACAAAAAGCAGGCAGCATTAGCTCCTGCAAATGTAAACAAATTTGAGTGGTTAGCTGAATAAGAAGTAGGACTGAGTGGATGCTAAAGCACTTTAGGTTTGTAAGTGCTAAAGTTTTACTTTGTTTTATTCTTGAATTCAGGGTATTTTTGTACCTAGTACTACATTTGTAAATTAAACTTTCATGATAAAGAGATTGAATTACAGTATTTGTATTAGGTGAATTGAAAAATTCTATTTTTTTTCAGAGCAAATATTTGTAAACAAGAGCATAAAGTGAGCACTATATGCTTTGTATTGTGTGTTGTAATCGAAATGTGAAAATGTAGAAAACATCCACAATATGCAAATGAATGGTATTCTGCTATTAACCGTGCAATTAATTACATTTTTACATCACTCACTTAATTACAATTATTTTAATTATTTGACAGCCTTAATATATGTTAAATTCTCTGGAAATTTTGTTTAGTGATATTAACTCTTGAGTCTTAAGCAGCTATATCTAGCACATTTTCAGGGTTTGTCTGGTGATTTCCCTCTATGTGAAGTTGGCAACAGAGGAGGAGAACACCTTGACTGTAAGTTCCTTGAGACAGGGACTAATCTTTTTGTTGATTTCACACAGCGGAGTCCTGCCACGTGACCAGGGCTCCTACCTGCTACTGTAATGCAAGTAATCTTAATTCTGGCAGGTCATATCTGTAAGTGCTACATTTTGAACCTTTGTTTAATATAAAAAAAAACAGTTTGGTTTTTCCCCTAAAGTATTTGGTAAAAATTCCCTTGAAGGAGAAATTTGGGATACAGAATAAATCAATAGATATATAATTTCAAAGTATTCAGTTTAGTGGAGTAAGAAGGCATTCAGTTTTAATGGAAAGACTAATCAGAGTATTGGAAAAAAGTTGCTCATCTTTTCAGAAGACTAGCAAGTGGAACAGTTAATATGGAATGATGTATTAGTACTAAACAATATATTATAACAAATATCCAAGTTAGGCACTGAAGGACACTGACTGTGTCATTTAGGCAATGATTTTTCCATTAGCATTTCTAAATACGAACGTTCAAAGAAACCAGACCCCATTCAAAACACAACCTAATTCCACCTTCCTTTCTCCCAAGAGTTCTGTGTTCTCTTCTCTTTTCCTTTTCACGTTCTCTCTCTTCTCCTCCCCCCCTCCCCCACCTCTATGGGAGTAGCAAGTGCTTCTGAAATTCCAGTCAATACTGCTCTGTTTCATTGTATTTCATTCTAGCTGGCAGCCATATAAAATGGATTGTGTACAGCCAAACTTCAAAGCAGATTGAGTGCTCTGTCAAGTTCATCGTTGTGCTGTCCCTCACAGCCATATGTTAATGCGAGGCTTGATGAAGTAGGACAAAGCCTTACTAATTCATTACACTACTACATTTTGCATTAGGAAGAAAAACTGGAGTCCTTGAAATATGGCTGCTGACATATTCTGAGATGTGCACTAAAGAAAGGGGGAAAAGATGCCTACTTAGGACTGGCCCAAGAGAAAATAAATGGGGTGGCTGCTTCTTCTTTGAGGTGCTCTGCATTTTTGATTGTCCTGCTAACCACACACTAGCCCTGACTTCTCATAAGCCTGTGCAACCCAACTATCTCCAAGCCATCCATGCTATTCGTTAAGTGAGTAGTTTGGTGAAACAGTCTTTTCACAGGATCCAACCTTTGAGAATTCTTCATAGTCATGGTGAAATTGCCAAATATTATCAAAAGAGAAAGGTAACAGGCCAATAAGCTGTTACCATAGGGAGGGAGTCTGGACCGCTCCTTTACACCAAACCTTATGCCTTACTAGTATTATTATTTTTCTAAGATGTTGGCTGCAGTAGACACATTAACAGAGCTTACAGAACAAGTGGTAGTATGAATCTTAAAAGACTATATCATAGCTCAATAGGTACCATACTTCAAAGATTTAAGTGAAGAGACTCTACAGTTCGTAATCATATTCCTGCTAATAAATAAAAACACTTAAAAACAGAAGACACGAGAAAACCCTCCCCCTTTCCCCCCCCCAAAAAAAACCCCTTCTCTCCTTCTTGTGTGTGTATGCGATAAGGGTCAAACACATATCAAACAGTTTTCCTGCCAAGTGACCTGTAGCAAGAGGTTTTCTGTTTAAAACAATTGCCCCTTTTTTCAGCAAATTAGGGATATCTGTGAGAACAATGAACATGATACGCTGAAAAGTCCAACTCCGAAAATAGTTGAGGAAACAAGCTTTATTATTTGAAATTTTTGTGCGTGGTAAGGATACAACATTTGACTTTTTTCCCCATGTTTCCAAGAAGGAGTAAATTTAAAGTTTTTATTGTAGGCTAAAGCATCAACAATAGCATGGCACACATGAAGCTAAAACTACACACATACAAACACTTTTTGATGCACATCTTTCATCCTCAATCTTAAGCAGTTTGTATTTTGTCCTCCAAGGAAAAAAAGAAAGAACAAATGACTAGAATATTTCAGTATCAGTTTGAGAATGCAAGACTATATGTTCTATACACAAAACGTATGAAATTGACTTACAAAAATGGAATGTACAAAACTTAAAAATGTATATTTACTTTTAGGACTGGAAAGGACAATGTATTAATGATACCGATTTTTAGCACAGGGATATTGCAATACGCTATGTAAAGTATGGAACATTCCCATGTCAATATCATAAAGCAAAAGCATCAGGGTTAAGGCTGTGTTGCTCACAAACATTAACTGAAGTGCTGTACATTCATCAGAAACATCAGAACCAATTTAGGATTATCCTACTCTAACTACAAATATCTTTCATACAGTTTCCACAAACAGACCAAACAATCACTGCTCACATTTCATCATGAACGTTCTGACTTGTTGTCATCCATAAACAAAAATTATTTCCTTATAACATCATAACTTATTCGGCACTTATAGTTTTCATTATGGCAACACTAGATCCTTAGTTATAAAAAAAATTAACAATTATAAAGTTGAAAGCCCTGTAACTTTTACAGGACATACCAGCATTTACTAATTAATAAGTCTCCAACAGCATCAGACAATTTTGCCTCAAGCCATCTTCATTTTTATTTTCAGTTACACTGCTGAAACTTTAGACTATGTAAAAATGCATTTACATGTGTTCAAAATTTAACTGAACAGCCACTTTTCTTCCACTTCAAAAATTTAATACACATAGTCTGATAATTTGTCCAAAAATACTGCAGAGAACGTAACTCCCAGAAAACCTTTTGACATTACTTCCATAGTTTAAACAGAACTCATACCTCCACCACTCCTGCTGTGTGACCAGTCTCCTAATATGCCACTGAAGTCAGTGGAACAGTAAGGGTAAACATGGCATACAGGAGGTGTGTTCGACTTAGAACCTTTAATATAAGCTAATAACTCAGTAGATTGAGTAGTGCAATTTTGGCAGTTATTTAATTGGAAGAGAAAAATCTGCCAGCACAAAAATATTACCAAATTTCTGCCATGATATTACAGGTGGTTTGGGGATCTTTAATCCAAGTGTTTTAGGTAATAAGGTTTCAAAAACAAACTGTAAAAGCAAATTTTCTGAAAATTTTATAGAAACAATGTACATGTACACATACATGACATGTATCATCTTGAGTATGTGTTTTACAAAATTTTTCAAGAGATCATTTAGAGATTGATATCTGTGAGACAAAGAATTTTTGTCAGTGGAGGATTTGTCCTGTACTAATTTCTTTTCTTTGCTTCTTCTCTTCCCCCCACCACAGAAACACCTCCATTCATCTTAAGCTTTAAAATATTTGTTACAAAAATCTAAATTTGGGATCAAATTGATACTGTCCTTTAAAATAACCCATCGCAATAGATTATATATAATTTTATTCATACCCTTGAATTTAAAAAAAAGAAAAAAGTGTGGATTTTTTTCTTGGTTAGTAAATGCAATTGAAATGTTTTTATTATATTAATAGTTTCCAAGTGCTCCAGACTGATTGTGTGTGTCAGAGTATTGATTAAAAGGATAGTTACTAAAAAACAAAAAAAATTACAATTGTACTTGGGAGTAAGAGGATAATTTATAGTGATATACTGGATGGCATCTATCCTCCCTGCAGAATTTTCGGACAAACTAAGTTCAAACACAAAATACCTTCCTCACTTGCTAATACTTGCCTTGGTTTTTAAAAACTAGAAAGTGTTATTACCAAATTTCCAGCTACATTTTATAGTCCAACTCTGTAGCCCTTAGACAAGCCAGTCCTCCTACTTTAATCATGAGACTAATCTTGTGTGCAAGGGTTTGCAAGATTGGGCTGTATGTGCAAAAAAATAAGCAAGAGTAGGGGAACTCTGTCCCCCTGCTCCCCGAAATATAACTTAATTTAAAAAAATAGACTGCACTACATTCTCGTGAATTTCAAGTTCTGCTTCATTACAGAAAACTGATGTTAAGCACGTTTCTTAAAAAGAGCTGAAACAGATTTAACCTGAAACAAGCTGATACAAGTAATTTCACAAAAATCAACCTAAATTTTGAAGACATACTGAAGATGGTTCCCCATCCATTTTCCTCTTTAAAAAAATAAAACATTAAGATTTCTAAATAAAGAAAAAATACTGCTCCAAGATTATTTCAGGCATTGGCACCATACCGACCACAGCCTCTCTGCACAACGTTGAGAGGGGGCATGACCCTGTATTCCTGAACAGCATCAACGCATCTTTTGATTCTTGTTTTTACAATTTCTAATAAAGCTAGTGCTTCCTAAAATGGGCAGATCTACATTATGCATGAGAAAATACTTAAAACAGAGCCAACTTTTGTGAGTCCGCTGAAGCATTTTAAATTAAATTGGGTTTTCAGAAGAATACCAGGGATTAAGTCAGGGAGAGGGAAACTCCTTTTCAGAGTACAGCCATACTCAAAGGGCTTGCCCAAATTACAGACACTTTCTTTATTCTCATGTCAAACATATACACATTCACACATACTCTGCAGTCCTTATTTTGTCTTCAGAATAACATCACATCGACTAAGGTCTTCAGAAATTGCTTCAATTCATTATTATTTGTAATGTTCTTTTCTTGCATTAAATAGCTTTCATAACCCTTGCTTTCCACTATACATTTGTTAACCACAGTTCCTTTGGTTGTACAGTGTAGGTCCTCCAAAGGGGTACCTGTGTGGCTTTCTGTCCTGTGTGATATGTTGATTCATACATCAAATTGCCTTTAAAAAGTATGGCAAAGAATACGTATGGAAGAGTGACCAACATGACCCTGATTCTAATGACTTAGTTTGTTGTTAATGGGTCCGTCATTCTACAGAAAATCATCAGTAACTAATGTATCATTACAGTATAGTTTGTCCCACAGCAGTAGGAATTTCAGGTCTCTAGAAAGTCCTTACTACACACTGAGCAGTAAGAGGGGTTGGAAACAAGCACATGAAACAATCCTTCATTAATCTCACAAAGCATATAGAATTTGCACTGATTTGTATAGTACTAAAAGTTGAGCTGTGTTAAGCCTGGCAAATAGAGTTGGAAAGATTTTGCACAACCTTGTATCTTACTAAAAGAACCTATTTGTTATAGTTACTAAGACTGAAGAATGTTACATGTGCAGTACCTACCATGATAATAAGATTTTAAAAAGACTTCCAGTCTTCACCAGTTAAAAAAACTCCCAGTTAAATAATGGATAACAATGATACTTTTAAATTTGGAAGTTCTGAACGGGCGTTATCTTTTCACAGGTTAAATAAACCCCGTCAAATACTTTAGATATTTTCATTTTATTTTTATTTGCAAAGTTAGTCAATTATTTAAATTCCTGTTCCACAAGCTGCAGTTCACATGTTTAATATTTCATTGTCGTGATGAATTCAGCAAAAGGTTTTATTTATCCTTACAACAATAAATTCAGTGAAGAACATAAGAGGTGCAAGTCCTATGTAAACAAGGTAAGTTTGGAAATAAACATGAAAAGTCCACTGGCGACTCTTTCAGCATTAAAAAATAAAAGTACACATCCTGCACAGAAAGATTGATTAAGGATCTCTAGGATCAGTCGTTTGTTAAGGGCCAGGCAGATCTAAAGCCCACTGTTACTGTAAGTATCGATAGACCTTGAAGCAGTGATTTCCAGAGTCTGCAACTACAACATGGCCATCTGAAGTTAGCGCCAGACCTTGGGGACCATAAAGCGGGTCAGCAGATGTATTAATGTAGGATAAAAATGATCCACTTCCATCAAAAACCTTTAAGGAGAGAAAACACATATGTAATGTTATATTTATTAATAGGGATAAAAATAATGGGCCAAATTATGGTCTCAGCTGGATGAATGTAAATCTGAAATATTTCTATATATTTAAAGAACCCTAGATTTATACGGGATATGTATATGGGAGCAGAACTTGAATTCCTATTCTCAAAATACAAAAATTCACATTTAAAAATATTCATTTTTATTTTAATAATTAGAAAGGGCTAATACTATAGGTAGCTTTGCCCCCAAAATAAACATATACCCAAATTAAAAATAAAACAGCTGTTCCTCACTCTAAAAATAACCATCTCTAATTAATCAAACCACCACTATCCACCCTCCTTCCCCAAAAGTTACAGCCTTCAGCATGCGTCTCCCAAATCATAGTAGTTAGGTCCTCAGGTGCAGCAAAAGCAGGGACAAAGTTGAGGGCCCTTCACATAGAATTTCCTGCCACAGCCTTCCTCTTTTTTAGATCAAGTGAACTTCAGCTGAAGCATCTCTGCTGATCCGTCATTTTGTTGCTTGTTCAGTACACTCTGGCAAAGGATTGTGTTAATGAGAAAGGACCATGATTTGCACTTGAAACCAAGCAGTACAACTTTCATTATAAATGCAGCAGCCAACTGCATTTTCTCAATATGTTAAAAAAATACAATGATAAACTACTGGGGATTTGTCTCTTTTTTTCCCCTGTGTTAAAGTATATCTTCTGTCTTCAGTTACAGTGACTATTCACTACTATTGCCTGCACTGTACTGTATAAACCTCTTATGTGCAGTTGTTGTACACAATTTCTCATTTGACTTCAACTGATTTGTATGATCACTGCAGACTCTCTCAGCCTTAATGTTAAAGGTCCAGTATGCACCAGTGGTAGCAGCAGCAGAATAGGTTTTTCATTCTGCTCTTGCAGAAAAGTAGGAGCAACCAATCTACTCATTGCCAAGGAGGCGGATTAGGAAGAACAGGCTCCCAAATTACAACAAGATGAGGGAAATGAGTCTGCCAGAAGTCCACAAGATAGCCTAACCAGAGACAGACTAGAAGGCTACAATGCCTTTCTCCAAGATGACAAATTAAAATAATAGGAGAGGTCCAGCTATGAGGAAGAGAGAATCTTAGGGGACATGAGCTGGTATTGTTGAAGGAAAAGAAGGAGTCTGGCCAGCTCACATCTTCAAGCTGTAGCTCCTTCAAAGCCTGAAAAGCTTCACTTCATTCTTTTTGTTCTCTACAGAGAAGCCAGCTGAGAATATTCACTCCTTCTTTCCTGCCCTGTTTTGTTCAGGAAAAGAGTAAAGTGAAGGCAGAACTAGAAGTGCTTCTCAGCAAAACAAATATCTGGCATCCCAATATTTCTTCTGAAATTTTAAAAAGCTGTGTGGTAGCCAGAGAGCACCAATACCAATACCATTCAGCAATTTCACTGTTCAGTTTCCCTACCCTGAACACTGCAGTGTATCTGTGTCTCGATGCTGAGACAAATAGCATACCAATATTAGTGTAAAATACCAAAGGGGTAGGGCTGGCATATTTATTCCTATTAGGAGACAGCCAGAAACCTGCAGACTCCTGGTGGACGTGTGTGATATATGTAATGTCCACTGGTGGTATTTGCTCACTTTATAGAATAGGTGTCTTTACCACAAGGAATCCATCAGCTTTAAACATTGTAAGGACTGAAAGAGCATGGAGTTTATCTATCCTACTACTTCTAAAAGTGGTCCTGCAGGTCAGCATTGAGGCCTATTGAAGCTTGTGCCTATTTTTGTGGGGGAAAAGAGGGTTTCAGTGGCCGAGGCTGTCAATCCAATACCTTTCAAAAGCACTATAAGTTTAAAAAATTACATGTTGTTTACCTGTATTCGACTGTTTCCCCAATCTGCTACAATAATATTTCCATTAGAATCTACAGCTACTCCTGTTGGAGCATTAAACTGTCCATTGCCTTCTCCATTAGATCCAAACTTCAGCATGAATTCTCCTTCCTGGTTATATACCTACATGAAGTTTAAAACAAGGCATTAGGTAAAATATTATTTTAACCTCTAGCTGGCCTGAGCAGTTTTGTTTGTCCATTTCATTGCCACTGGATTGACCTGAGAATAATTTGTAAGTCAAGTACAAAACCGGGTATTAAAAAGCACACAATACTCTCTACCCTACTTGAAAAACGTGTCTTTCTGTTTTGATTTTCTGGGAGAGTTTTGCCCTCAGAAGTGTTATATTAAGCTTACCAAAAAGGCACTAGTATACATCCCATGCTCAGATGTTTGTGTGTATCTGTAATAATTTAAATAGCCAGTGTATTGTATTATATCTACATTTCATTGTGTTCAGATGCTGACATTGTTAACATTTCAGTTTTGGGGTGTAAAGGAGAAGGGAAAGTCTGTCAAGAATGAAATTATTGTTGGATTCACCGCCAGCACCTGAAATTCTCTACACTCTGACTAACCAGTTTATTAAAATAAGAATACCCTCGTCTCTAGAATCCAATATGAACAAAATCCCTTTTTAAATATTAGAAAATGTGTTAAAGAGAGGACCATCCTCCACTCGCATCTTTTTGAAATGTGGAAATACATGCAAGAAGAGAGAGTTGGCTTTCCCCATCTACTGATATACCTCCTCTTTTCACTTTAGGTCTGAACTGCCATAAGTATTCAAGGGGAGGGCACATGGATCCTGCACTAGGCACTAATGAGGTGCAAGAGTACACCACATTCAACTGATGCAAAAGAGTGGTGGGTGAAACGGGGACATTGTTTTGCATAGCCTTCATCCATACCAGCTATCCGAGTTGGCTCACCACGGAGGATAAAGTGTGCTGCACCCTCTGCTGACTAAGATGATGTGCATACTGTTTCATTACTCTATGGCTTTTTCCAACTGCCTGGGTCTCAGATTGGGACTATCATTTCCCAGAATGGTCCCTGACAAACTGGGACAGTTGCAAACTATGAAAAATAATAATCTCTCTTCAGTCTCATTCAACTCTGCCTAAAGGATGTCTCCTCATCACATCAAGGGATAGAACCGCTTCAGCTCTGTTTTGTGGCTGGGGAATCACAATAACCTAGCAAGCAAATGAGATATTTAGCTAGTATGGGGACTAACCAATAAATACATCTATACATGTATACAAACAACAGAACTAGCCAGAAAAGAAAAGATGAGAAGAATGGAAGAAAAGGTTGGACAAAAGACTTTTCTCAATGGATAGGAGGCAAGAGAAGACGTATGGTTGTAGAAGACCTGGAGAGTGGAAGGAGAGAGAAAACAATTCCTGGGTGACGGAAATGAATTAACATAAGGTTGCATCCCGAGATTTAAAAAAAAAAAAAAAAAAAAAAGACGGAGGGCAAGAAATCAATTGATGGCAAGAGAAAAGAGGACAGAGATATTTGTTTATCTATTTCTGGTGAGGAACAGGGAGATCATACAGAGGCCATAGCCAGGGTCACATTAAGTGCTGTGGAGGAGAGAAAAAAGAAAACAGAGCTCCATGGGGGATATAAGGGGCAATTACTGTCAAGGGATAATTTTTCATTTAAATTGGCAGATAGGTGTCTGGTGGAAGATTTTAGGTGAATTTTAGGGGTTTGCTCACTGCTTTTCTCTAATCCTTTAAGCCTAAATTAATTTAAATATCACTAGAATGCACAGAATTTTCCAACATGTTGACAATTATATACCATCAAGGTAGAACACATAATATTGTTACCCACTATATCACATCAGGGCCTAATGGGAACTCATTAACTAGGAAGGCAATGTGAATATTTTAAATTCACTAAGCTGCCATATTTGTTACTTCTCTTTTGACTGGCTTTTGTGTCTTGTAAGCTGCTCCTAGTTTCTGAAGCTCTCTGCAGTCACTCCTATTACTTCAGGAAGCCCTGCTGGTGAAGGTATAATTTATCAAATTAAAT